CAAGAACCATTCGAGCTACAGAATTCGTTTTGGCATCGTTGGATAGAGAATTGAAAACTCGATTCAGTCGTAACAACGTGAGTGAGGAAATTCGAGCAGTTTTGACTCAGAAAGCGAAATTTGAATATCAGACACTTAGGTGCAAGATTATGCCAACCAGAACCAATGAGTTAAAACTCATTAACTAACTCAAAAGCGCAACTCAACACAGTGTTACCCAAGCCTACTCCCAAACCTGCCGATTGACGGTGGCCGCGCTCCGAGATGAGCAAATTTCAATATCCCCTCACATAATGACGTCACTGCCAAAAGGCTTGGAAGTCTTGGGACATTATAAATGGCTAACAGTGAGTTTGTTTCAGTTCTTCGGCGTTGGCAGCTCGATTGCCAGATCGCTCAGCTACTATGCGGCCAAGTCTGGGGACTCCAAGGCCAAATCCACCGCCAAACAGCTGTTAGATGTGATTTGGAAGAATCACAAGGACTCGAAAGGACTGTATGTGCGCTCGGACTTGTCCGCCTTCACCGCTGTTAACACTAAGGTACGACTACAGTTTTCCCAGTTTCCTTGGCTTCCTGCACATTGCATGTTGCAGGTTTATATTCCTGTCGACGGTTGGACCGGCACTTATCCAAATGGCGATAAAATCACCGCCTCCTCCAGCTTCTTGGACATCCGATCCTGGTACAAACAGGACGAAAACTGGCCCCAACTTCAGGCCTACTTGAACGGGGGCTCAGCCCCCGTGGTGGACTATCATCGTTTCTGGGAGCAGGCCGATATGGCGCTGGCTTTGGGAGCGTATTCGCTCCTCTTCGAGTGATCAACACCGACAATAAATAGTATAAAAATCAACCTGAGCTCATTTGCTTTCAATGAACGTTTGGTTAGCCTCGATGTCGTCACCCAAACACGCAAGTGTGTGTGTGTTTGTGTGAAAAAATGCCGGCCCAAGCTCGCAAGATTTCTCAGCTCATTTGCATATAATGCTCCTATCAGACATTGTTCTTCACCAATCGCGGCACTTTCTAGCGCTCAATTTGAACACACATTTGTGCCTGCCCGACCACCGGATCCGTATTGTTTCATCGCCCACATCTCACGCAAATCATTTGAATTCCGATGGATATTCATTGAACAGATGCTGGCTGCAAGGCCGATTGCCTCATTGTGCTCATTTATCTGAAGGCGAAGCCCTATGCGGATTGTGGATGAAAACAGGGGCGGATCCAGCTTTAAAGTCAGG